GAAAAATGAGTTTCAAGGAATAGAGAAAATGAAGGTTGTCAAACTACAATCGCTTCAGCTTAAGTTTGATCATTTAAAAATTTGGGAAAAGATGAAAGTATAAAAGGTTATCCTTCTAGGATGATAGAGCTCGTTAATCAATTAAAAGCCATAGGTGAAAGTATAACGGATCAACGAGTGGTGCAAAAATTGTTACTAACCTTGTCAAAAAGGTACAATACAGTCGTTCAAATAATTGAAGAAATCATCAGGCGAAGGAAAGGTAAGACTCGGCTAGCTGCATGGCTGCAGACGAAGGAAAGGTAAGACTCGGAAATCTAAATAATCAAATAATCGAAGAAATCATCAAATCTAAAAAATTAAGAAAGTTAGATTTGAGTGGGAGCGCATGGCTGCAGACGAAGGAAAGGTAAGACTCGGAAAATTTGGTGGAAGATGCAAATTGAAGATTATTTACACCCAAAACGCTTTATGAACCTCTCTCGGATAAAAAGCCAAAGGGTATAAAAAGATGAAGATTGGAATCTTCTAGATAGACAAGCCCTTGGAGTTATTCAACTAACATTATCACGCAATGTTGCTTTTGATATAGCAAATGAAACAACCACGGAAAGTCTAATGAAAGCTCTCTCTAGTATGTACGAGAAACAATCGACTTCTAATAAAATCCATAAAGAAGCGAATATTCAATTTAAGGATGATAGAAGGCTGGTCGGTAGCTCTAACATCTTAATGAACTCAATTCAATCATAACCCAATTGAGTTCATTCAAAATTGATTTTGAGGATGAAGTTCGAGCATTGATACTTTTGCTGGTTGGTAGCTCATCAGGAAGCGATCAGTTGAAATTTGACGATGCTCTTGACCTAATTCTCAGTAGAGATCCGAGAGAGTCAGGTGAATCATCAATCTCTTCTGTTTTACACACAGGTCAAGGAGAAGAAATTCAACCAAAAAAACAAATGTGGAAGATCAAGCTATCGAGGTGAATCCAGAGATAGGAGATCAAAATCAAGAACTCCCAATAATTTCCAGAACTCGAAGTATATTGAGTGTTGGAATTGTGGATTATAAAAATCAATGCAAGAGTGCACCGAAAAACCAAGAAGTAAAGGCAGAGGCAAATGTTACTTCTACCGTAGAAGGAGATGACGCATGGATATGCTCTTTAGAGAGTAAGGAAGAATCTTGGGTGTTAAATTCTAAAGCATCATTCCACACTACTTCAAAGAAAGAATTCTTTGAGAAGATCGTCCCTGGAAACCTTAGAAAAGTATACCTTGGAGATGACCAACCTTGTGATATTATTGGTAAAGGTGTAGTGAAGATTAAGTTAAATGGGTCAGTTTGGAGCTGAGACCTAATGATTTCAATTGGCAGTTGGACGTTGAAGGCTACACTACAAATTTTCAAGATTATAATTGGAAGATTTTAAAGGGAGCAATGACAGTTGCTCATGGTAAAAAGAGTGGTGCTCTTTACATGACATCAAGGGCATGTTGTTCAATTTTAGTTGTAGTAATAAATGAAGATTCCAAATTGTGGCACCAAAAACTTGGCCACATGAGTGAGAAAGGGATGAAGCTAATGAATGCTAAAAGGAAATTCCCCAATCTTGAATCTACTGAGATGGACATGTGTGATGAATGCATAGTTGGAAAGCAGAAGAGGGTAAGCTTTCAAACTAGTGGTAAACCCCAAAGAAGGAAAACTTAGAGCTTGTTCCCTTCGATGTTTGGGGACCAACAACTACTTCATCTATCGATGGAAAACACTATTTTGTCACTTTCATTGATGATCACTCCCGAAAAGTATGGGTTTACTCAGTATTTGAAAAAGCGCTGAGGCGCAAGGCAATAGGGGGTAAGCGCTTTTTTTGGCCTTGGCGAGGCGTTTTCAATAAGGCGCCCGAGGCATGAATAACAAACGAGAAAATTTTACTGCATGAAGTAAGGTGTGAAGACAAATTAAAATTAGTCTTCAAGTGGGAGATTGTTAAGATCACCACAATTTAAAAAAGGAAAACAAATATAAGCATTGAATTTCTTAGCAATACGTGAATGATTTCCTAAAAAAAGTGAAGGAGAAAATAGCTTTCTAAATTTAAAAAGTCATATTTAGAAATAATGGATCTATATAAAACTTAAGTTATCATTAGTTATATTCATCCCAAAAACAATAGAAAACATAAAGCAGAGAGAGAAGTTTTAAGAGAATTTTTAGAGAAAATTCTTTAGTGTAATTGGGGTGCATATGATTGTGAGTTATAAGTGTAGTGAACACTTGTGTATAATTTATCTTTTGTAATAAAAGTTTTGCAGCATAATTAGAGATACAAATATTTGCTCATTTATTCGTATTATTCATATATTATTTTTATTTCCACTAAACTTATTCTAAAGGAAATTTGCATAATATTTTGGAAAAATTGCCCCCATTAATCTGAACTTTGCCTCGTCCGCCCAAATTAATCCATACTTTCGATTATTATCTATCACTCCCAACTTTAAGGGGTATTAATTTCTATTGCACCTAAATGACTTGCAACCGGTTAATCAGGTAAACATTGTTGACTTTTGATTAGTTGCACACGTGTCGCATCATGATAGGTTAAAAAAAAAACAAATTAAAATAAAAAATAAAACCACGCACAGCCACTTCCACCACCACCACCACCCTCAATCACGCCGAAACCCTAACCCTATCCCTCAATTTCACCAGTAGGCGGTCAACCAACCTCTGACTTCCACTAAAAACCACCAACCTTCCTCCACCACCACTCCCAGACCGTGGAAACAACCCAGCACAACCGTTTTCATGGCTAATTATCGAAGAAGAGGGTGTCGTTTTAGTGGCTAATTGACAGGGAAGGGGGTGAAATTGAGAGTGAGGGAAGGGGGTGAAATTGAGGGTGAGGGAAGGGAAAGGGATGGGTTTCGAGGGCGGGGGAGGGATAGGCGCCGGTTTTCGCCAACGGGGGAGGGGTTTTCGGGGGTGGGGGGAGGGATAGGCGTCGGTTTTCGCCAACGGGGGAGGGGTTTTCGGGGGTGGGGGGAGGGAAGGGGTGGGTTTCAAGGGAGGGGGAAGGCTGGGCGGTGGTTTCTGGCAGCACGGGAGGGGTTTTCGAGGATGGGGCTGATTTTCTAGCGGGGTGGGGGTGGGGGTGGCGGTGTGGTGGCAGCTGCTAGGCATGGGTGGTTTGTGGGTTTCTTTTTTTTTGTTTAAGCCAATCATACGCTGACACATGTTTAGGTAACCTACTACATATGGTTCGATGACCTGTTGGGTGCAATAAAAATTAATACCCCTAAAGTTGGGAGTGATAGATAATAATCGAAAGTATGGATTAATTTGGGCGGACGAGGCAAAGTACAGATTAATGGGAGCAATTTTTCCTAATATTTTCCTACCATGCAATTTCCCATTTCATTAGTGATAAATACGAAGTAGGTAATACTAGCAAATCTGCTTAGAAAAATTTTTAAATTAAATGAATTTTAAGAAGCATTTATATTGTGCTTCATATTGCAACTAGCAATAATCTTCTTAATCACATTTACCAATGATTTTTGCAATTAAAGCATAATCGCAACAAGACAAACAGTAAAAGATCAACCACAGCAATACATAGATCTGATTTTATCTCAAGTTTATAAATTCATCATGAACAATGTAAAATATAATCCCTAATTAATTACTTTTAGAAATTTATTCACAAAATCGACATAATTGATTGAAAAAAGTTCATTTTTTTTCCGGAAATTAATTAGATAATTGATGCTAAATTTCACAAATTACACAATAAAGAGCTGGAAATTGGAATTTTCAAATGATCAATTGGCTTAATTTAAAATATACGAGGGATTCAAGAGAGAGAGCATACGAGGGAATTTGCTGATGCATATAGAGCAAGAAACCTAAGACGTCATAGACGACATGGAAGATAAGAGCGCCATTAATGGAGGTGGAAGGGACCTCGATTTCTGTGTCCTCCGCCATTGTTGTTGCCTCTGGTTTTCTCTCTCTTCGGCTCATTATTCCGAATTTCCGAGAGAGAGAACTCGCTTCGTACTCGGAGTAAGATAGAGAAGGAGTTTTTAAAAAAATGATTTGGAGCGGGAAGATAAAAGGAGGAAGTAATTGAGTCTTGAATCCGGTTTGGATTGTGTCATTTTCACGGAGTTAAACTACACAAGTACTCCCTAAACTTTGCACAAAGCTGCAAATCACTCGCAAACTTTCAAAAGTTACAAATTACGTTGTCAAAAAAAAATGCAAATCACTCACTCACCTGAGTTTAGACCTTCAATAACAGGTAAAATGCAAGAACTCCCTAAACTTTCTGACAACTCTATAAACTTTCTGACTTTATTGCAGGAACTCCCTAAACTATTTTTAGAAATCTGTTTCATTTGGTTCCAAAAAACTAGTCGTTACAGAATAATGTTTGATCAAAAACAAAATGCAGCAGCTCTATATATACTCCATTGCATCCATTATTTCTTCACATCAAATCTGCAATAAAATTCATCAAAAAAAATAAGGCTCTCAAAAAAAATTTAGATCATAAAAATACAGAATTAATTTTGCAATATGTCAAGGACCAGTTTTGGAGTTAGGAGGTGTCACTGTGGTTTGTTAGTGTCAAAGAGTAGGGCTTGGACTAAAGACAATCCTGGTAAAAGGTTTTATGCATGCCCTGAATATGATGTTGAAACTGAAAGGAGGGGCTGCAAGTTTTTTAGATGGGTTGATGCTGAAGATCCCACAACATGCCAGACTGATGTGATTTTGGGGTTGATGGAGGAGAAACAGGAGCTAAAAAGTGAGGTTATGAGTGTTAGGCATGACCTGAAGCAAGCTAACAAGAAGTTAAAGAAGGTTGAAGGTGAATATTTGTTGCTTAAGATTAAAAGGGAAGCAGGGTCTAATTTGGGCTTTAATTGTGAGATGTGGAAGTTTATGTTAGTTCTTTTTTGTATTTTTAGTTTGGTTTGTATTTAACTGATAATATAAGTTAAAGAAAGGGATTGTACCTCAGCTGCTACTGTTTGTGATGCCTCCTTTCCTTTGCCATGTGTCTGTTGAATGAAATTTGAAATTAATGAAATCAATATTATGTTTTTTTAATTGTGTGTTGGCAATTGGTAACTAAAAATTAATACCTGTAATGCCTGGCTTAATATTTTGTTCTGACTTTGTGAAGGCTGGCTTGACAATGGGTACTCATCTTGGCTGACAGAGTACACTGTATGTTCACACCCCCATTGTCTCTGTAGTAAGCTCTCTGAACAGGCTGCAAATCATTATAATAGTGACATTAGATGTAAAGTGTAGGATAATATTCCTTTACATTTGATTAGAGTGAAATAACTTACTGTTGCAATTCTTTGATAGCCATTAGGGTAGGTATATAATCCAACCCCTCTCATGTGCATGGGAATGGGATTATTTCCTGCACCATGGCTCTGCATTTGTGGCTGCTGAGTGTTAACAGGTTGTTGGGCTGTGTTAGACTGATCATTGTTGTGGCTAGGACCTTTAGAGACATTCTTGCACCCCTTTTTATTATGTCCTTGCTTCCCACAAAGGCTGTAGTGCACGACAACCCCTTTCTTCCTAAGTTTCCCAGTAGCTATGACCTCTCCCTGCTGTAATCTTCTCTTCACCTTAGGTCTGTGTTGAACCTTTTTCAGTTTGGGTGCACTACTTCATCAGACCTTGGCCACTCTTGTGGACCATCTAAAGGTTCTAGTAAATAATCATAAGCTTTCAGATAGGTTGTTTTTGTGAAGTAATCATTGACATAGTGTTCAGGTTCATCCACCTTGTTCCAGATTGCAACAACAACATGCTTGCAAGGTATACCACTCACTTGTCAAGCCTTGCAGCTGCAAGTTCTATCTTGCAAGTTAACTACAAATTTTGTTTGGGTTGCCCCTCTCCTAACTTCATAAGTAAACCCCCCCCCCATCCCAAAAGGCATTCCACCTTCTTGCCCAAAGCTTGTGCTTCTCCAATTGTTGCTAAATCCTAGGGCATAGCACCACTTCTTTTTTTCCAATTTCATCCCTTTTTTTATGTAACCTTTCCATCAAACTTTCTCTGATGTCTTCTAACATAGTTATAATTGTCTTATGCCTTGAGTTAAATATGTAGGAATTAAATACCTTACACATATTGTTGTCCATAGATTCACAACAAGAGATAGTGCTGTAGAAGGCCCTACATAATTTCATGTAGTTTCTATTCATCAAATCATCTGTTGCATCTGCTGATATATTCCTCATGACATCCATATTTGCATTAAAGTCATTCTCAGTTGAACTCTAGCAATAATCCATAACTGCTTTCTAAATTCAAGACTACCTCCAAACACACCCCTGAAATTGCAGTATACATGCCTTGCACATACCTTAGCCTCTGCTTCTGGGAACACTGCATCAACTGCAGCAAGCAACCCCTTCTGCTGGTCACTTATGAATGTGTACCTAGCCCCTTGCACAGTCCCTAAATCCTCACCTAGCAAAGTTAGAAACCAGGTCCAACTGTCTATACTCTCAACCTTCACAACAGCCCATGCTATAGGGAACATTTGGTTGTTCCCATCTCTCCCTACAGCTACCAAAAGCTGCCCCCCCAAATGGTCCCTTTAAAAAGCAACCATCTAATGATATGAAGGGCCTACAACCAGCTAAAAATCCCTTCTTTAATGTATCAAAACAAAAGTACAGTCTTTGGAAAATCTTAGCATTCAATTGCATCTTCACTGTGTTTGCCCTGTTTGACTTCAGTATTTCAGCAGCATATCTTGGGAGAAGACCATACTGCTCCTCATACTCACCAACTATCAGGGCCTGTCCCTTCTTTCTTTCCCTGTAAGCAATGAAATTGCTCACCCTTATTCCCGTTTCCAACCATATTGTCTGCACTATGTCATGAAGTTTCATATAAGGATTCACCCTAAACTTGTTGGCATATGTGTTGGCAATCCAGGTTGCATTCATTCTCTTCACGTAGCTGACCTACCACATGTGTGCTTACCTATGCGTGTTTTCACTTTGAAGCAATTTTTCCTTTGATCCCACAAGGCCCAGATCTTCCAAGGGCATCAATGATGCTTACACTTGGCCCCAACTCTGTCCTTGTCATTCCTAAAGTATGGAACATCCCTTCCCGATTCAATGGAATAGTCACCCAAAGCTTTCCTAAACATTGCAACATTCTCATAAGACTGTCCCACATAAAAGGAAGAATCTGCATCACCCCTAACTTTGTTCTGCTGTTTCCTAACATCATCTGTAGTGTTAGGTGCCACCAAATACCCACAATCTTCATCATCATCTTCCCCCTCACTATAGCTCCCATTGTCGCTCCAATCATCCCAATCATCATCAACATTGAGTTTCTCTTTGCCCTTTGATTTAGCCCACCTTTGCAGCATATTTAACTCCTCCTCATATGAAGATTGTTCTTGTTTTTCTTAAGTGACCCTAATCCTAGCATTTACAAACTCCATGTCATCCTCATCAGTTCCCTCACTATCATAATCCACCTCATTCACATCACTACACCTAGGATTTGGCCTACCAGATGTCCCACCAGTCAACATATTCAAGAAAGAACACCCACCTAAATCAACACTACCACATTTATGCTAAATGTACACATAAATGACCATGTACTCTAACAACAGACAAAGCAATGGATCAAATGTGCTTCTATCAAATCCCAAAAACCTAACACCATCGGTTAATGTTTTCCTTGGATCCAAAAATGCAACTTCACTATATCAGTGTATGCCAAAGACTCTATCAATTCCTTAACATATGTAGCATCTAATTCCATTGGTAATTCATCAAACACTCTTACACTACCCCCGAATGTATGTCATTTCAACACCCTCTAACCATGGGATTTGTTAAACATCGCCCGCAAATCTCCACATAAAGCCCACAAATTAGACATGGTTTGACAATTTTGCCCATTTCTAAAATCGTACCCAAAGTGAACAAATCTCGATCTAACAAATGTGGAGTCGTACTGGGTTGCCCAGGGAGGCCGGAGAGGCGAGGGTCGACGGAGATACGTCGTCTTCGACGGAAAACGAGGTGGCGCCTAGTTTGGACGCCGGAACCATGGCAAGGACGTCCAGGCAAGGCGCCACAACCAGTGCACTGGCGTCCAGGCCAGACGCCACAACCAGTGCACTGGCGTCTAGCCCAGGCGCCTCAACCAGTGCACTGGCGTCCAGGCCAGGCGCCACCACCAGTGCACTGGCGTCTGGTTTGGACGCCGCCCTTACTTTTTAATTTTTTTTTTTTTGCCTTTTTTTTTTTTTTAAATTATGTTTATTAAATTTATGTTTTGATTTAGGATGTGGAAATTTATGTTTTTTATTTGATTTTATAAAAAATATATATACTAGACTTATAAAAAATAACACATAAAATTAATAATTATTAAAAAAAAAAATCAAACACATTAAAAAAATTAGAAAAATTTTCTGATTTTCCAAAAAAAAAATTAAAAAAAAAAATTTAAGGCAGCTGGGGCGCCTGGCCAGGACGGCCCGTGGCTGGTGGTGGCGCCAGGTCTGGCAGCCACGTCCACCGGCCTGGCGTCTGGGCAGGACGCCCAGCCACAGTGACTGGCGCCTGTCCCAAACGCCACTGGCTGGGCGTCCTGCCCAGACGCCAGGCCGGTGGACGTGGCTGCCGGACCTGGCGCCACCACCACCTTGCCGCCACGAGCCACCACTACCTTGCCGCCACGAGCCAACCACCTTGCCGCCACGAGCCAACCACCTTGCCGCCACGAGCCTCGACATCCCCGTACTTTGATTTTTATTGAGGTTGTGTTTTTTTTTTTAAGGTCAAGGGCAATATTGTAACTTCAATATAAGTTTGTGGGCTTTATGTGGAGATTTGCGGGCGATGTTTAGCAATCCACCTAACGATTCCCCACCATGGTGAACAATTATGTATGGTTTGAGATCAGACATTTGCTTTTCTGTCATTACAACATATTTTGATCAGCACTATTGATTTAGTCAATACATTATATGCATTTTTGATATGAAATAACCAAGAAAACTCAAGAAAAAGGGAGGAGAAATCAAGTAAAAACAAGTTCAATCAACAAATAAGGATAAACCTATCTCAAAATCACAAAGATAATTGACATAGGGGTCTTAATCAAAGCCAACACCAAGTAAAGCTAGGAGTAAGGTGTAACCACAAAGATTAAAAGGTAGCAATCACAAAGAAAGCAAGATAATCACAAAGATTATGGTAGAGAGAGAAAGTCTCTTTGATTACAAAATCAAGCAAAGTTCAACATTGAAAAAATCTTGCAAAACGTCTTAAAAAGTAATTTAAATAGTGCGCATAAACTGACAAAAAAACGGGAAAAGGTTCGGCTGAACTTAGGGTAAGTTCGGTAGAACTTGTGGGTAGGTTTGGTAGAACTTTTGGAGTTCGGCCACTCCTACAAAGATGCAAGAATCAGGTCTGAAACTGCCTGGAAGTTCGGGCGAACCAGCTTTGGTTCGGTCGAACTCCCCTGCTCCTGGACAGCAAACGTTTATAACTTCTTCGTTTCTTGCTCAAATTTGGCATGTGACCAGTCGTTGGAAAGCTCTTGAACTTTACTTTCACCTCCAACTTGAATCACCTAAAAATTCCTTGTAACGAAGGAGATATGGCAGAATGAAGTAGTTGCATCATATATTGATAAGCTTCTTGTCTTCAAGTGTGATGATGGTTAGCCCCGAAAGGTGACCTCCAAGGAGCTTGGCCCGACTTAGTGTCATGACACGTGGCATGTCTTCCACTTCTTCCACTAAGTTCCATGCACCCGCGTCAAACCCCTCCTCTTCAAAAGGAATTGCCTTCAATTCCGGATCATCATCACCAATATCATCTTCAAAGAGAAAAGGAGCAAGATCACCAACATTAAAGGTAGCATGAAAACCAAAGTCTCCCGGTAGTTTGAGCTTGTAAGCATTAGGTCCAACTCTCTCCAAAACTTCAAAGGGGCCTTCGGATCTTGGCACGAGCTTGTTCTTTCTCTTAGCCGGGAATCTTTCCCTCCGAAGATGGAGCCACACAAGATCACCTATATTGAATTCCCTTGGCTTCTTGAATTTGTTTTCCCTTGCCTTGTAACTCTCATTTGCCTTCTCAATTCTCTTCTTGACATCTTCATGAAGCTTTTTCATCATTTCAACTCTATCTTTCGCCTTAAAGCTCAAATCCTCTTGAGGGATACTAGGCAACAAGTGGTAGGCGGGGATTGAAACCATACACTACTTCAAATGGTGTTTTTCCCGGTAGTTATGCAATGAGAGCGGTTGTAAGCAAATTCAACTTGAGGTAGCTTAAGATCCCAATATTTCATGTGTTTGCTAATGATAGCTTGGAGAACGGTGGACATGGTACGGTTTGGCCATCGGCTTGAGGGTGACTATAGGTACTAAACAAGAGCTTGGTTCCCACTAACTTCCACAAAGTCTTCCAAAAGTAGCTCAAGAACTTAGAATCACGGTCCGACACAATACTTTTTAGAATGCCATGAAGCTTCACCACTTCTCTAAAGAACAAGGTAGCCACATGAGAAGTGTCATCGGTCTTGTGGCAAGGAATGAAGTGAGCCATCTTGCTAAAACGATTAACCACAACAAACACGGAATCATTTTGTCTTTGAGTGCGAGGGAGAGCAACCACAAAATCCATACTAAGATCATCCCAAGGGTGACTAGGGACCGGAAGAGGAGAGTAGAGTCCTTCACGGAATTGACTCTTAGCCTTGTGACAAGCCCCACAACAAGCTATCACATCTTGCACATCACCAAACATCTTGGGCCAATAAAAGTGCTCTCGAAGAATGTCATATGTTTTTGCAACCCCAAAGTGTCCGGCTAGTCCTCCTTGATGAGCTTCCTTAACAAGAAACCGTCGATAAGAGCATTTCGGAACACAAAGCTTGTTTCCCTTGAAAAGGAAACCCTCTTGCACCATGAAAGAGCCATCGACCCCTTCCTCACACTTCTTCATCAACCCACCAAAATCCTTATCATGGCGATACAACTCTTTTAGCAACTCAAACTCTAAAAACTTTGCATCAAGAATAGTGATCATACAATGCCTCCTAGAAAGAGCATCGACAACAACATTGCTCTTTTCTTCCTTGTACTTAGAAGAGAAAGTGAATGATTGGAGGAATTTAACCCATTTGGCATGCCTTGCATTGAGTTTATGAGAACCATTGATGTACTTGAGAGATTCATGATCGGAGTGTAGTACAAATGGTCTAGGCCTCAAGTAATGTGACCAATGATCAAGAGCCCTCACCATAGCATAGAAATCCTTGTCATAGGTACTATACCTCATTCTTGCTCCACCAAGCTTCTCACTAAAATAGGCAACCGGCCTCCCTCCTTGCACAAGAACCGCTCCAACTCCAACCCCATTAGCATCACATTCAACTTCAAAGGGTTGATCAAAATTTGGAAGAGCTAAGATTGGAGCCTCACACAATTCATTATTGAGGGTCTCAAAAGCCCTTTGAGCCGATGGTGTCCACTCAAAAGTACCCTTCTTCATGTATTCGGTCATCGGGGCCAAAATAGTGCTGAAATTCTTCACAAACCTTCGATAGAAGAAAGCTAGTCCATGGAAACTCCTAACTTGAGTGAGAGTAGTAGGAGTAGGCTAAGATTGAATGGCCTCCACTTTACTAGGGTCCATTGAGATCCCTACATTCGAAATCACATAGCTAAAAAAAACAATACTATCCACCATAAAAGTACACTTTTCCAACTTGGCAAAAAGTCGCCTACTTCTCAATATTTCAAATACTTGCCTCAAATATTTAACATGATCAAGTTCACATTTGCTATAAACAAGTATGTCATCAAAATAAACAGCAACAAATTTACCAATGAAGGGGCGAAGTACCTCATTCATGAGCCTCATGAAAGTGCTAGGAGCATTAGAGAGCCCAAATGGCATAACTAGCCACTCATACAAGCCTTGCTTGGTCTTGAAAGCGGTCTTCCACTCATCTCCTTCACGCATGCGAATTTGATGGTACCTCATACTCAATTCAATCTTCGAAAACACCTTAGAACCATACAACTCATCAAGCATATCATCAAGTTGGGGAATAGGGAAGCGATACATGATGATGATGTTATTGATGCCCCTACTATCCACACACATCCTCCATGTACCATCATTTTAAGGAACCAAAAGAGCCGGAACCGAACAAGGGATAAGGGATTCCCTCACAAATCCTCTTTCAATCAACTCACCAACTTGTCTTTGAAGCTCTCTTGCTTCATCGGGGGTACACCTATAAGCCGGTCTATTAGGGAGTTGTGATCCGGTAATAAGATCGATTTAATGCTCAATTCCCCTAATAGGTGTCAAACCGGGGGGGAGATCATCGGGAAAACATCATGGTACTCAACCTATACTTCCTTGACAAGGGGGTGGATTGGGTTCTCTCGCTCACTCTCTTGTGTTTCCCTAAGAAGACAAATAAAGACAAGGTGTCCTTGATTTATCTCCTTTCCCATCTCATTTCCCCCAATGAGAAGGTTCTCTTTGATTGTGTTTCCCGTACCCAAGGGTTCTTTGTGTTTGATGGTGGGGGACAAGGAGTTGAGTACAATCTTCTTCTTCTCCATCATGAATGAATAAGTGTTCTTTCTTCCATCATGCATTACATCTCTATCAAATTGCCAAGGTTTACCAAGCAATACATGACAAGCATCCATAGGTAATACATCACAAAGCACCTCATCCTTACATAGCTTGCCAATTGAGAAATAAAGAAGAGTTTGTTTCGTTACCTTCACCTCATTGTGATTGTTAAGCCATTGAAGCTTGCAGGGATTAGGATGATCGGTAGTTTCAAGATTGAGCTTGCTCACTAATGTTGTTGAAGCCACATTAGTGCAAGAGCCACTATCAATGATAAGGTTGCAAACTCGATCCTTGATGGTGCAACGAGTTTGGATGATGTTTTCCTTTTGCTCTTCCGCCAAAGGGGTAGAAATGGAGTGAAGTTCCCTCTTCACAACAAGGATTTGACCCTCATCGGCTTCAACTAGAATCTCATCCTCTTCATCATAAATAGGGTCTCCAAAATCCCTCTTCTCATCTTCGTACTCATCATCATCCATTTCACGAATCATCATAGCTCTACTCTTTGGACACTCATTAGCAAAATGTCCATAACCCCTACACTTGTAGCAAGTCTTATAATTGCTCATCTTATTGTGATCATATTTGCTAGAAGAGAGCATGGGAGCCTTGCCTTTGTCATCCTTGGCAATGGGCTTGCTTATCTCACCCTTTGGAGCAAAAGAACTCTTGAAGGTAGGCTTAGTATACCCACTAGCACTACTCACCTTGTCATACTTCTCAAACTTCAAAGATTTTTGCACCACTTGATCAAAACTTCCATGGGCACGCACATCAACCTTTTTCCCAAGCTTTCTTTCAAGACCACCAATATACCTAGGAATCTTATGCTCCGGTGCTTCTTCAATTCCACTCATGATAGAAAGTTTCTCAAACTCCCTAGTATACTTCTCTACCGACATAGTTCCTTGCTTAAGAGAGTTCAATTTAAGATAAGCATCTTGCAAATAATCTTTAGGCACAAAGGCCTTGTTCATATGTTTCTTCAATTTCTCCCAAGAAGTGATTTTTGATTTTCCATCTTTCTTCCTACGATTCTTTAAGTTCTCATACCACAAAGAAGCATGTTTTTTGAGTTTAAGGATGGCTAATTTGAAACATTTTTCATCATTATAACCCTTATATTCAAACACATTCTCCATACTCCTAACCCAATCAAGAAATTCATTATGATCAAGATTACCTTCAAAGTCCGGAAATTCCAACTTGATGTCTCGGTCACGGTTGTCCTCATGGTGTCGTTGGCGGTATTCCCTTCTCCGGCGAGGAGAGTGAGAGTCATCTTCTTCACTAGGGCTCCTCCTCCTTCTAGGGCTCCTTCTATTCTCCAAGACCTCAAGAAGTCTATCAAACTGCCTTTCTAGAGTGTAGACACCTAAAAATGTCTCCCCAAAACCAAACTCGATGATGAACAACCTTTCATCGCCATTATTGGTCGGGTTGAGTATTTAATCTTGGAGTGCTTATATCCATATTTCCATTTCATAAACCAAACCAATTCCTAGCCCATTTCCCCAAACCATAACTTATTTTCCTCTTTTCGTGCCTTTAAACCCAAAATAATTCATTTTGTGTCCTTTAAAATCAATCATTTCGTGTTCTTTTTATAAAAAACGTTTAATACAGCTTATTTTGGTCCATAATATGAGTCCAATGATTAAATAGTTGTATGGGGCTTTAAAAGAGATTTCCAACGATATATTGTAAGCCCAAATCCGAGTTATGACGAATAAGTTATGGCCAAAATATTAAACTGAGCCCAAACCGAACCTAAACCCACCTTGCCTACGACCCAATGATCATGTGGAGGGTTCAAATTATTTAATCCCATTCCTAAACCAATTAGGATTAATTAGAAGCTTCTATAAGTTTCTAAAATATCTTAATTATCCTTTTTGAAAAGATAAGATTAAAGAATTTGAAATTGAATAAAACTTTTCTTTTTGAAAATCCTAATTCTATCCGAATTGAAAGACGTTCAAAGATAGTCAGATATTATTTTCGTGCCTCATAGTTTTTATCCAAATTTTAATGTTTGGATATCCCTTGAAATTATATTTCCAATGATATATTATAATATCAATTCCAAGCTATAACGGAAAAGATATGAATAAAATATCAAACTTTATCCAAAACTGACACCGTCTCACAATTTCGGCCATATATTTTAGTCTATAAAATATTTTAATCTGAATCTAATTGGGTTAGAAAGAGGACTTCAAGAGCTTTCCAACGATATCTTATTAATCTTATTCCGATTTCTAGATCAAAAGATATGATAAAAACAAAAACCGCAAAAACTGCTGTCTATCGCAAGAGTTTTATCCGATTCGAATTCTTTTCTTTTCTTGATTCTTCGACCCTATTTTTTCTCTATAAATAGAAATAATATTCACCTCTTTTTTAATAATCAACAAGCTTGATCATCAAATAATTCTCTTCTCCTTCTTTAGCCTAAATACTAGCCATCCTATTTTCTCAAAATACTTCCCCTAATTAAGCACTCCAAGGAGTTCATACAATACCCGAAGTTTTATACTTAAACCAAGGCGTGAAAGCTATAATTGACTGAGGATTTGGACCAAATCAACTTTAATTTTTATTTAATTTAATTGTTTTAATTTGATTTATATTTTTATTGAAGTTACTAACAGTTTATTCATGATGTAGCAATTTAAAGGAACGCGCGGAATGTGAGTAATTAATTAATTTAATTACTCTTATTTTGTTTTAATATTGCTAGTATCATGATTAGGGTTATTTTATATTTGATTTGACTAACGCTATTATTATTAAATTTCTTCCAATATTAATGTTTAATCTATTGTTATTATGATCACTATATTGCATGTTTAAAGGGAATATGTAATTGAAAATCACGCATAATAAGATAATTTGGACAACCGGTTTAGGTTCCTTTTTAATCTTGTTGTTAATTGAAGTGATCACTAATATTTTAGAATAATGTGTTGCATTAATATTCAACCAATTTAGCTTAATAATAGATTGGAGCGAATTGAATCTTTGTTTGTATGCCTTTGAGATCACAGGAATTACTTTTCACTATAAGAATCGAGTAGAGGCCAATACGGGCGAATGTGACTCCATGACTCACTTCGTACCATCATCCCCGATCCTCCTTTCGTGGTTCCGAACCATATGGAGTTAGTAATCTCATGGATTATGAATGGGGTGTAACCTTCACGGGTCAATCGTTGTTGCCTATCGTTGTCCCTTATCATGGTTGCCTTTTATGATCCGTGAACGGTTTACAAGTTCCTTAAAAACTTGTTGGCGGCTCCCTACTTTCCTTGTCCCTAATCGTATTATGTCAATTCCCACTTCCTATGAGTGCCAAGCATATTCACCACATGCTTTTACGTAGGCGCACTTCGAGCGACACCTACATAGAGCATCCAATCTAGAGTTTTCATTGTAACCTTCATCATCTTCATAATAGTATCTATCACCCATGTTTCAAGATAGAAACCTTGTATTTTTGAGAGAAATTTCAAATTTTTGTTGGAAAAGATGAGATCTTTTGAGAGGGGGAAAGAGAAATTAAAAAAGGTAGGATCTTTCTAGGCTAATAACCTAGGCTCTTGATACCAAATGATATGAAATAACAGAGAAAACTAAAAAAAAGGGAGGATAAATCAAGTAAAAACAAGTTCAATAAAAAAATAAGGATAAACCTATCTCAAAATCACAAAGATAAATGAAATAGGGGTCTTAATCAAAGCCAACACCAAGTAAAACTAGGATTAAAGTGTAACCACAAAGATTACAAGGTAGCAATCACAAAGAAAGCAAGATAATCAAAAAGATGGTAGAGAGAGAAAGTCTCTTTGATTACAAAATCAAGCAAAGTTCAACATTGAAAAAATCTTGCAAAACGTCTTAAATACAAAGTGCGCATAAACTGACAAAAAAAACGGGAAAGGCTCGGCCGAACTTAGGGTAAGTTCGGTCGAACTTGTGGGTAGGTTCGGTTGAAATTTTATAGTTCGGTCATTCCTACAAAGATGCAAAAGCCAGGCTGAAACTGCCTGTAAGTTCGGGCGAACCATCTTTGGTTCGGTCGAACTCCCCTACTCCTGGTCAGCTCAACTTCAAACGTTCATAACTTCTTCGTTTCTTGCTCAAATTTGGCATGTGACCAGTTGTTGGAAAGTTCTTAAACTCTACTTTCACCTACAACTTGAATCACCTAAAAATTCCTTGTAACGAAGGAGATATGGCAGAATGAAGTAGTTGCATCATATATTGATAAGCTTCTTGTCTTCAAGTGTGATGATAGTTAGCCCCGAAAGGTCTTGGCACGTCTTCCACTTCTTCCACTAAGTTCCATGCACCCGTTTCAATTTTACTTGTCATTCATAGTAAAAAGATTAATTTGCTCATATAAGAATATGCAAAATAAGTAGAATGAGTTAAACAAGCATATAAGCAAAATAATTACTTGTCATTCATCATTCATAGTCAAAAGATTAATTTGTTCCATACATTTCATTAAGGCCTCTAATAAGAAGCCATTACATCATCATTAACATTGTCATGGTAGTGACAGATACCAAAAACCTACTCATATCTGTCACTACTACACTACCTTACTATGATAATGATCTTAGAACATAAAAACATAAAAACATAAAAGCTTTACAAAAAGAGCAGCACAACTCCAAAAACCATCAAGTTACTCTCTGATCCCTCCCCCCTCCCACCTACAATTAGCCTACTCTTCCTTGAACAACAGGGGGAATCCATCGAAATAGATGGTCATGTCCTTATTGATCTTGGAATGAAAGTCACGACCATCGTTGTAGACGAGGTCATCGAGGATCCATGTGTTCACAACAGCCCTAGGGCCTAGGAATGGGAGGGTTTATGCATAGTTGCGCATACGCCACCAGAGCCTCCACTTCACACACACGCTGCATAGCAATTCTCGCACCCCAGGTTAGCTTCGGGAAGAGATGGGTCACGAGGAGATCCTGCTAGCTCCATAGAGGGTGAGCGTCAGCCAAAGCGTCCATACTTAGATTCAAGGACACAAGACAAGGTATCATCAACTATGGACAAAGTCATGTTCATAACCCACCATGAAAGTCCCCTGTTCTACCCTTCTCTTAAAACCCTAACCAAAATTCTTAATTTATAAATCCTAACAACAATACCAACAACAAAAAGACAAACCATGTCCTGGAGTCACTATCTACCACATAATCTAAGCTAGATTCAGACAAAAAAACCAAAATTCTGAATTAAAAAAAAACAACCAACACTTGCTCTGGCATTTAATTACACAAAACAACAAAGAAAAAGAACAAGAATATACCTTCTTCAGAGTACAGTCGAGCAATTTTGTATGCTGGGAGTTGATCACTAGACCACGCCATTAATTGTGTTTGTCTTCAAAAGGAAAGTTCAAAGGTTTTTCTTTTTTTTTTTTTATTATTTTGAAGCTCTGTTTTCGGCGAAAGAAGGAAGTGAGAAAGCTTCTGTGAAAAGCTTAGCTATAAAGGCATTTGGCTTTCTCGCGCTTTGGTTATCGTGACAAGTAATGATGGCTTCTCGTTTACCAAGGACACCTCTCATTGGTTGCTCTGTTCTGATTAGATATTACAATTTTAAATAATTAAAAAAAAAGCACAAAAGTTTAGGGAGTTACTTGTACTTACCTGGAGAAACCAGTTACAACCGGAAAGATTACCTCCGATGACCAGCAGAGTGAGTAAAATGTAACTTTTGTAAGTTGAGGAAGTGAATTGCAACTAATAGGTAAGTTTAGGGAGTAACTTTGCAGTTTACTCCATTTTCACGTAAGACTCGTTTTGGGTACTGTAGCATCGTTCGAAGTGCGCCTACGTTAAAGCATGTTGTGAATATGTTTGACACTCATAAAAAGTGGGAATTGATGTATACGATTAGGGACAAGGAAAGTAGGGAGCCACCAACAAGTTTTAAGGAACTTGTAAACCGTTCACGGATCATAAAAGGCAACCACGAATAAAGGGACAACGATAGGCAACAACGATTGACCTGTGAAGGTTACACCTCATTCATAATCCATGAGATTACTAACTCCATATGGTTCGAAACCACGAAAGGAGGATCGCGGATGATGGTACGAAGTGAGTCATGGAGTCACATTCGCCTGTATTGGCTTCTACTCGATTCTTGTGATGAAAAGTGAACCCTGCGACTTCAAAGTCATGCAAACAAAATATTCAATTTGCTCCAAACTATTATTATGCTAAATTGGTTTAATACTAATGCAACACATAATTCTAAAATATTTGTGATCACTTGATTAAACAACAAGATTAAAAAGGAACCTAAACTGGTCGTCCAAATTATCTTATTAGGCGTGATTTTCAATTACATATTCCCTTTAAACATGCAATATGGTGATCAATAATAATAATAGAATAAACTTTAATATTGGAAGCAATTTAACAATAATAGCGTTAGTAAAATCAAATATAAATAACAACCCTAATCATGATACTAGCAATATTAAAAATAAAATAAGTAATTAAAATAATTAATTACTCACGTTCCGCGTGTTCCTTTAAATTGCTACATCATGAATAAATTTTTAGTAACTTCAATAAAAAAAATATAAATGAAATGGAAATTAAATTAAATAAATGTAAAGTTGATTTGGTCCAAACCCTCAGTTATTTGTACCTTTCACACCTTGGTTTAAGGACGGAACCTCGGGTTAAGTATGGACTCCTTGGAGTGCTTAAGGGAAGAATGGTGTAATTAGGAATATAAGTTTAAGGCTTAGAATATGAGAGAGAGAAGAGAATGATATTTGGTGTAAAAGAGTGGAAGAGAGAATGATTTGGTGATCAAGCTTGTTGATGAATGAAAAAGGGGTGATATGACCTCTATTTATAATGAAAAAGAAGGGTCGAAGAATTAATATAAAATAAGAATTCGAATCGGAATAAAACTCTTGCGATAAACAACAGTTTTTGCGGTTTTTGTTTTTATCATATCTTTTAGACCAGATATTGGTATACAATAAATAATATGTTGTTGGAAATCTGTTGAAGTCTACTTTCTAACCCAATTAGAATCCGATTAAAATCATTTGTAGAGTAAAAGATATGGCCGAAATAGTGGGGCGGTGTCAGTTTTGGATAGAGTTTGGTATTTCATTCATATCTTTTCCGTTATACCTCGGAATTAATATTATAATATATCATTGGAAAGATAATTTCAAGTGATGTACAACCATCTAAGATTTGGATAAAACTATGAGGCACGAAAATAAAATCTGACTATAACGTCTTTCAATATCAATAGAATTAGGACTTTTAAAAAGAAAATTTTTATTCAATTTCAAACTCTTTAATCTTATCTTTTCATAAAGGATAATTAAAGTATTTTAGAAACTTATAGAAGCTTCTAATTAATCCTAATTGGCTTAGGAATGGTATTAAATCCTTTGGACCCTCCACGATCATTGGGTCGTAAGTAAGGTGGGCTTATCAGCTTATGTTCGGTTTAGGCTCAGTTTAGTATTTTGGCCATAACTTATTCGTTATAACTCGGATTTGGGCTTATAATATATCATTGGAAAGATATTTTTAAGCCCCATCCAACTATTCAATCATTTGACCCAGATTATGAACCAAAACAAACTGGAATAAACATTTTTATAAATATGACACGAAATGAGTGATTTTAAGGGACGCGAAATGAATTATTTTTGGTTTAAAGGCACAAAAAGAGGAAAATAAGTTATGGTTTGGGGAAATGGGATAGGAATTGGGTTGGTTATAAAATATAAATATGTATTTAAGCACTCCAAGATTAAATACTCAACCCGACCAATAATAGCGGTGAAAGGTTGTTCATCATCGGGTTTGGTTTTGGGGAGACATTTTTAGGTGTCTACTGGTACAACCCTATGTAGGCAGGGGGAATGATGGACCGCTACCCGGTATAGGTCACCTCGCCCAATACCAAGTGACGGCAGCTTTCTTATATATATATATATATATATATATATATATATATATATATATATATATATATATATTATCTAGGGTAAATAACATTACTTAACGAATCAATAACAATATTTGATAAATTAATAACAACACCTTAAATTAAAATAACTGTTTTTAATAATACACTGATTTTTACTATAATTCGATCTGATATTACTTAAATGACTTTTATTGGTACTAGTTATCACTACTCTACTACTAATACATCGAAATGAATTACTTTAACAATTTAACAGCCCACCATGCTTCACAATAATAATTCTTTAACTAGAGAGTTTTGACCAATACCTGAACTTAATCGACAAAGGAACCTCTGACATTATGAGCTTTCGACTTAACCAAGGTAGCTAACCCTAACCCTGTCTTCCTTAGATCAGGCTCAACACAGATCTAATTCGTTTCCTACCTTAGACCATAATCTCTAATTAAACAATCCTTATTGTGTTTATGATGGAACTTCTTAAACAGAAAGATAACTCATTTGATATATAAGGTTCAAGGGGATAACGTTCCCTTCTTAAACGAAACTTTTATTTAATTTGAAAAGATTACAAAACTCATATATTACGACAAACACACAAACTGAAAGCTTAAACAAACATAAGCCGAACTAGAGTTTTCTCTACTTTAAGAGAGATGGAGAATCAATCTGTCTCTTAAGGTGAGTATTTTTCTCTAGAGGACTCTCTAATGATTTCAGAGCAATTCTCTAGCTAACTCTTCCAACACTGTCTTCACTTCTTTGCCTAATGCCTTTTATATAGGGGAAGGCTCACAAATGTCACCAACACTTTCTATGGCTTACAGAAAACCATGACTCAGCAAGTGAATATCGTTTACTATTTTTCTAAAGATCTTTTTAAAAACAAATAAAATGTGCTACAACAGTAAAAGTAAAATACATAAATGCTGGTGTGGGCTCAGGACTCCATCATATCTTGTAGACCACCTTTGTTGTCCTTACTGTCTTCATAATGGACATAAATTTGGTTGTCTTTTTCTATACCTAGATCCATTACACATTTAACAACATAGATTTCATCCCATGTGACAAAGATCTCCAATAAGTGCTTTTTTCCCTCTAAGGATAAATATCCCCCAGCTTCATTTTATTCGAGATAATCATACACTGATTCACCATGTAATACTCCTTCTTCTAAATAATTTCTTAACCATTCTTGTGCTACTATAGTAGTATTTCCCACATGTATTATGATCGGTGGTTCTTCTTCTAATGCTATGATTTGGTTAAGATACTAATCAAGAAAGAAAAATCCATAAGCTCTTGCCTCCGTAGGATCTTTTACTTGTCTCTGCTGGATACAGATTGGATCTTTGAGTTTGTGATGGACATCTTCAAACATGATCAAGAAATGTGGAGAGCTAATTTTTCCTTAAACCATTTCAATGTTTTCAATTTGCACTTGGACTTGTTCAACTCTTCCTTTATATCTTGTTGCTTCATAAATCTCCTAAAAACATACTTCAGGAATTTCGTGAGCTTCTTAAAGAACGTATTATTATTATCAGGAAATGGTACAATACTATGAACCATCCCATAATCCCAAGCTCTGTAGTGCTTCGCTACATATGGGGCCCTCCATTCCAGTGAATACAATGTAGATGAATTGACACAGTACCCACTATGGAATTGGTGTCGAATATTATTCTACTTCCCCATATATCATAGACATCATACATATTGTATGACCTTGATACAACTAAATCATACCAGAACCTAAAATTGTTATCTTTTATTTTATTTAGTATTATATCCTGAATATCAGGAATGAGTCTCAAGACAATGACCATCACTTCGTATATTAGTGTAGGTAATATTTCAAGCATTACCCCAAACTTGAACCCCACTGTGATCATACACTAAAGCATGGTGGCATCCAAAGGGAAGGAAGCTAGAGCAAAAGAGTCGCCAACAAGTTTTAGGAACTTGTAAACCGTTCACAGGGTGAAGGTTACACCCTTAACGATCCAGGAGATCGTTAACTCTAATAGGTTTGGAACCATGAATGAAAGTTCGGGGACGAAGGTACAAATCCAACCTAAAAGAGATTGAACCTGCCCTAATAATATGCCTCTACTTTATTCTTATCGTATTCATGTGCGCTTTCTGACTAACATGCAATCAATAGATTTACCTTAAACCTATTTAATCTATGTTGGTTGAATATTAATGCACAAATAAAACTATTATTGGCGATCACTTGAATTATAATCACATTAACCCTAAACAAGATTATTAATTATCTTATTAAGCGTGATTACAAGTACAAATTCCCTTTAAACATGCATAAAAGGCGTGTTCAAGCAATAATAATATATATAATCAAGCAACATAATAATCAAAACAA